TGAAAAAAAATTTGCCTTCAGCAGTTGCAGATGGAAAATCCCTGATTCATGCCAATGAACTAACTGCAGACCTGAAGTACCTGATTTGCATACACGTGATCGGATATGGATTTGGGGACACAGGCCAAATTGTTCAGGCTGGATTTTCTAATGTTATGTTCCTGAATCAATATTTGGTGCCTGATTCTGCTCTTACACTGATGTAAGTCAAGAGTAACTCTGCAACTGCTTTGGACTCCAGTATCCATTTTACACTGATGTGAGTGAGAGGAGAAGCAGGCGTTTTAGCTGCTGAATAAGTGACCTCGCTTTCAAAGAGATTGAGCAATCAGCATCTCCCATTGACTTCGATGCTCAGCACCTTTGAAATGATATGCCAGGGTCCTCAAATGCAGGTGACTGGTGGACACACTGCTTTCTATGCAACATGCCTCACACCCAAAAGGAAACGGTCCCCGTCCCCCCCCAATGCTTGTTGTTACTAGCTTAAATGATATGTAAATAGTAATACTCCTGCAGAATTTCAGTTTCCCACAGCAGCTCCAGAAAAAGGGTCTGACAATATATGAGGGTTTTTTTTAATAATTCTCTTGGGTCAACTCTGGCAAGATGTGCATGAAGACTCAAGGATACAATTTGCATACCCAGCCAGCAGCCTTGATCATGTAAAAGCAAGGCCAGTCGCAGTAACATTAAGAATCACCCTCCTGCTACCAGGAATGAAAACTGCCAACCTGGAAACCAACCAGAAAATAAATAACAAAGTCAGACCTAAGCTGAATCACTTACGCTGTGATTGGAAGACTTAGACCAGTGGTTCTCAGACTTTTGTATTGGTAACCCCTTTCACACAGCAAACCTATGAGTGTGACCCACCCCCTTACAAATTAAAAAACTACTTTTTTTTTATATTTAACACTATTATAAATGCTGGAGGCGAAGCGGGTTTTGGGGTGGAGACTGACAGTTTGTGACCCCCACATAATAACTTTGTGACCCCCTGAGGGATCATGACCACCAGTTTGAGAACCCATGATGTAGACTGTTCATCAAGTTTGGCAGCCTATCGTGGGGCGGGGACTTCTGAGATGAGAGCGCAGAGCTCAACTCCAGAAAAGACAGCAAAAGCCTTCTAGCCAGAAGCTAAATTTGAAGGTCCAGTAGTAAATATCCAAGGAGCTCAATGGTGTAGGAACCCTTTAGGAGTCCCTCAGCAACCGTAGCCAGAAGACAGGCCCAACCTATACGGTCCAGTTGGTCTTTGCAAACATTGCTTGCCCTTGGATTCATCCGTGCCCCCACCTAATCTTAATTTCCATAGTGGAATATGGGTAAAAAGATCGGTGATAGCTCAGCCTATTGAAAGCTCTCAATTATCACCAGTTCCTTGCATTGCACCCATAAACAAGGACCTTGTATTAGGTGTTCATGACAGCTAACACCACTCCAGTGTCCGTTCCAGTTGTGCAGTTGTTCAAGGGTATCCTTAGTAGATCACACTTCAGTGATATAACCTGAGAAGTGACACAGGCACAGATGGACTTTACATGTTAGTTACACTAGTGCAAGCTGTGTTGGAAAGATCCCCATTAAATTTTCAGCTATGCTATAAAAAACAGAATTTAACATAGATCTTGCGATAATGAGCCTTGATTCTGTAACACAAAAATTTCAGTGACTTCTGTTTTTACATTAGACTTGCTATTATTCATGTAACTTAACTTACCTTTTTAGTCCCTTAGTAGAAGAATGTTTAACAAAACCTTTAGAGCAAAAATTTTAGTTATTTAAAGTTTGATCAGATTTTAAATAGATTTCCCCACACCCCACCCCCCTTGTGTTGTAGAGATTTAGGTGTAGTTTTTCCAAAGCACAGATGGCAAAGAAGTACTAAACTCTCTGTGAAAGTCAGCAGGAGTTGGGTGCCTGACTGCTATTTGTAGCTTTGAAAATCTTTCCCTTATTTATCTTCTAGGAGAAGATTTTTATCGGTTAGGAGAGTAACAGATCTGTCACAATAGCCTAAAGAAAACGGGGGTTATAAAATCCATCCCATGCAATATAATGGAAGATGCAGCTAGCACTAAGCATTGTGTGTTTGTTTGGCAATTGATTGTCCTGTCACATGTGGAACCCAAGACATGTGGAAGGCTTGATGATGAGGATGAAATTTGCTTACCCAAGAAGCAGCCTTAATTCATGTGGAACACTGCGTGTACTTTAGCTACTGTGTTTGTACAGATAATGGAATGAGACCCTGAGATCTCCATCGTAACTTTTCCCCTGTAAATGCTTCTGTCTCTCTTCATGCACAATGATCTTTCCAATTTAAGCTTAGTTATCTGACCATGCTGGTTTCTCCCCCAACCAATAAGTGACCTCCGTTCCGCTCCAATGAAGTAACTTTCCTGTCTGAAATAAAAACTAGCATTTAGCTTGAATTATTTTATTGCTTGGATGGAGGGCATATCACTAGAGAGGCTGAAGAGCAGGGAGCTCTGCCTTTCTAGGCACACCTACCATTGAACTGCAGCTGCCTAAGATCAGTGCACTGGAAGTAGTCTAAGGTAAAAGATCGTTTCCTTCTGTTTATGTATTTTTCTTTGGCGTCTGTGGTCAAAAATGCATCCTGGTGAAGTTATTCTAAAGAGTTTGAATTCACGAACCTGTTTTGTGCTGGATGATCTTGATGTCAAGAATCTGAACTTGTGGTTTATTCATAAGCATGTTATTTTAAAGAAACTGCCCTAATCTAACTGTCAGAGAGACGCACCTCTTTAATATAGCAGCGCTTCCTGCTGCTTAAAGCAGAACCATAGATCAGTCTACATAGAGGTCAATGAGCATTTAATAACTTGCTAAGCAGCCCTCACTCCGTCCCCAACCTGCAGGTATTGGCTTTCACCGCTACTGTTACCATGCTTCATCTCACAATCCTTACATTTAGGACTGAGTACAACATAAAATAGAAACTATGGGTAGGGCTGTTCAAATGCACCCACATGCTTGAAAGCTACTAAGTCACTTGGGAGCTTTTGAAAATCTCACTCCGTCTATATTTTCAATTAGAACAAACAGGACTGTGCAATCACATTCCTTGTGAACTTCCTTTGCCTGCTCCCTACCCTGTACGTGTTTTGTCTAGCTTAGATTGTAAACCCTACTCTGAAGGGATGTAGTCCTCTTAAAAGATGTCAGCATTCATAAGAACGTAGCACTTCAGTGACCATGCTGACCAATCAAAGTTGGCAGTGAAAGAAACAAGAAATTAAAAACAGGCAACAAGTTATGGCAAAGAACCACTGAAGTTTTTCATCAAATTTTACATGGAAAAATTGTAAACTTGATGCGGGTGTGGGTAAGATGAGAATAGCTTCACTTTTTAGGAAATGGGGAAGGCCTTTTTCCATCTAGAAAACCCAAGTTTTTGTTCGAAAAATGTTCTCCGGCTCTCTAAAACTCCAAGCGTTCTCTCAGGAGACAGCTACCCAGTGACTAGAGACTCACTAACACTCACATCCCACAATAATCAACAGAAGATGTTTCAATGAGTCAGTTCGTGGTTGCATGTCTGCTAAAATTGCCATATGGCTGACCAAAGAGAGATCCTTTTGCATGTGAGGGTTAAATGGATGATCCCTTTTGGGGTTGGGGGGCGGAAATGAAAGAGGAACACATTTCACTAAAGAAACATGGGGGTGGAACAGAAATGCATTTAAGAGGTCGGGGGGGGGTGATGGAGGAGAATGGTTTCAAACAATTCCAGGTTGCTTTCAGAAAGTTTGAGTGTCCGACTAGAGACCCTCATCTGGAAATCAGGCCCCTGGAAGGTGTCTCAAATATGAATAACTAAAATTGCAGATCTAATTTAAAAAATACCAAACTTTGTAATTTTAACTCTTGTGCTGTGCAAGGCTTGTACAGTGATTAAGAAAATGAGCCGAATTTTACAGGAAATGTAAAAGTTAAAATGAGAAATAGGGCCCAAACCAAACTCCCGGATCTGAATACCACACATGGGGCCTGATCCATAATTCTCCACAGTTGTGTGTGCCAGGTTGATTTCTAGGTACATGCAACTTAAGCCAGCTTTACTGTCTGCCCATGCTAACCAGGTACCCTAGCACTGTCTCTGGCAGTTGCCAAAATGAAGTCATATTCAGCAATGGAAATAATGGGCATTCCGTTGCCAAGAACTCGACATCCAATTTTAAAATATATTTGGTATCCGGAGGGAAAAAAAGATTGGTAACTGGACAGCTGTATAAACCCAAGTTAGATCTGTGAGGCTTGGCTTTGTAGTGTTTTAATATTTTTCTTTAGCCACCTAAGGCATTTGTGTATGCAGTTTTAGTAATAATTAATGGAAATAGTATGCCTAACTCTTTTGGGTGGGTTTGACGATCTGTGTCCTTCTTTTTATATGATGATTCTAATATAACCAAATAGCTTTCTAATATAGGAAGAGTTAGGGAAAGGTTCACGAGCTTTAAACTGTTTTACAGTTCATGGGTTTATAGATATATTTTATTTATTTATCTTTAATGCTATTGCAAGACTTGGCTTGTTTTTGTTGTGGTGACTTCCTGGAGGCAACATAGCCTGGTATTCTAGAGCAAGGCAGTGGGGGTTAGAACACTTTCTCTTCCACTGAATTGTTGTGTGACCTTGGTCAAGTCACTTAGGGCCCCGAGTTCAGCGAAGTACTTAAGCACATGCTTACATACTTACTCAATTAGGGCCTTAACCTCTGTAGGTGTCATTTTAGCTCTAAGTAAAATGGATCAATTAAATACTTCAGTGAAGTGCTTTGAGATCCTTGTTTGGCGGGCGCTGTATAAGCAGGATGCGTGTTCCTGCATAGAGCCATGCTAATATGAACTAACAGAGTGTAATGTAAGATGATTGGTCCCTCAGATGAGCAGCTGTTTAATATCTTTGATTTTTTCTTTCTTTCTTTCTGCTTCCTTCCTTTCTTCTTCCTTTTCTGCTTAACCCAGAAAAACTGATTGAGGGTCTCAAATCTCCTGAGACTGCGCTTCTGCTCCCTGATATCCTGCCTCTAGCTGACCCCTTCGGTTGCACCTCTGATGCTGTGAATGGTAAAATAACAAACTGTAATTTGTATGGCATGTTGTGCTCCTGCATGTTTACACGATAACTGTGCATGTTTATGCTGCCTGGCTAGGATAGGCGAAAGGTAGGCCAGCAGCCATTGCAAAACACACCTTGCTTAGAAGAGAGTATGTGCAAAGAGCCGAATTTGCCTCTCAAGGCACCATACCCCTTGACTCCAGGGGGAGTCACTGCTGAACAGCTCAGCACTGCTGTAAACTCTTGAGGTTTACCCTATTGTCATCAATAATGTGGCAGAGCTGTGACAGTGTGGTGTTTGGGGAGGGGATTCTTTGAGCCGTGTGTAGAGGAAGGATAATGTGCTGGGTGAGGGGAATGGATGTAGGGCCTCTGAACAAGGATGGGTGGTTAGGGAGCTAGCCTTGGATTCAGGAGATCTGTGTTCAAGTCCCTGCCCTGCCACCGAGTTCTGTGTGACCTAGGGCAAGTCACTTAGCCTCTCTGGATCTCAGTTTCCCATCTGTAATATGAGGATAATAGCACTGCCCTGCTTCAGGGGGTGTGTGAGGATAAATACATTAAAGATTGAGAGGCACTCGGATACTTTGGTAATAGGGGACATATAAATACCCAAGAGAGATGGAATTTTAATGGATGATTTCTTAGCAAAAACTTAAGACTAATAACTTTCAGGCTCTGGGTTATTCCTGAGTGGTCTGTTTCAGTGATTTGCTGTTATACAAACCTGAGTATAATATCAAGCTGCCACATTCCTGCCAGTCTAGCTGACCTATGTATTAAAGAGGTAATTAAAGATTCAGACAACTGCCTTCTCCGCTTCAACCTGTGCTGTATTTGGTAAACTAACTTCTCCCTTCTCTCTGCTCTGATCTCTGGTCCATTCTGAAAGGAAAAGATGACATACCTGTTGAGAGTCTCATACCTGGCCTGGAGGCTCCACTGCCCCAGCACCTCCCCTCCCAGACCGACTCAGTTGCTTCCAACAGAACAGGTTGGTGAGATGCCACAAACTGAAATGGGGGGGTAGCGTTAGGGTGTAGGACCTCTTTATAGTGAATAGGAAGACCTTCTCCACTGGACTAAACTGTTCTCTCTCTCCTCCCCCTAACCTCACCTGCAGTTTAAATTGACCATGTGTTTATAAAGCTAATTTCAGCTGGTTCCTTAAAGGTCACTGTTAGCCCACGGGAGAAGAATCTTAAGAAAGCAGTAAGTACCCTTTTTTTGTTCCAGAGCAGGTGTTACGATGGACTGACAAGTGCTGCTCCTATGAGGGTGACATATATAAAATAATTTTGTTTGTTTGTTCCGGTATATATGGCTAGAGAGGCCTCTGGATCTTGAGGGTGTAGAAATGTGGGTATGTCTACACTGTAATCAGAGATGTGAACTTGAGCTAGCTAGAACACATCCACACATGCTGAAGTGCCAATGGCAGTTACGCACTGGGAGCACAGGCTAGCTGCTGAGTGCAAGCCCACTCAGGACCCTGACTATGCAGTGGAGTAGCTAGCCTGTGCTTGCAAGCTAACTAGATCAAAGCTAACTCGGGTATCCCTACGCATGTGGCAATCACCTTCCCCCCTCCCATCCCCAATTGCTGAGTAGACCGACCATGTCTCTATGGTTTGTTAATCCATTAATGTCTCTTTAACACACTAGAATAAAAAGTCGTGTCCCCCTCCCCCAATTAGCTTCCCTTAAAATCATGTGTTTCTAGTTATAGACATTTGTTAGTGGTGTGTTGCCAATATGAATATGAAACTTCCCTGGTAATTTCCAGTTTACTGCTGAGATCTCCTGTGGCTGTTATGAATGCCAGTCTTCAGTGTCACCTGTACACCTCTACCCCGATATAATGCTGTCCTCGGGAGCCAAAAAATCTTACCGCGTTATAGGTGAAATCGCGTTATATTGAACTTGCTTTGATCCACTGAAGTGCACAGCCCCACCCCCCTGGAGCGCTGCTTTACCGCGTTATATCCGAATTCGTGTTATATCGGGTCGCATTATATCGGGATAGAGATGTATTTTGTCTGTGTTCTGTAATTGGCAATTCATCCTTCTTCCTTACCCCATAAGTCCTGATCCTGAAAATTGCTCCTACGGGTGGATCCTTATATCTTCTCAGAGCCCCACTGACTTCAACAGGGCGTTCAGCACTTCGCAGGATAGGCCCCAGCTGACAGCGTCCCAATGTGCCACAGGAGACCAGTAGCTTTAAGATATCTGAAATGTTACTTAACGTTTCTTTTACACAGAAATGAATGGTGTGTAGTCTGATCTATGGCTGACAAGCCTCTTCAGATACTTGAGCTCAGCTACTTATTTATCTCAAAAAGGTTGTCAGCTGCATCTAAAATATCAGGCTTGCTTCCCTGAAACCATGGGCTCAAATTCTCCTATGAGCAACTCTCTCCTTCTTTGCAAAGTAAATACCATAGTCTGTATGTCTTTCCAACAAGACCTTAAACCAGGCCAACAATTGTAAAAGCCTCCTCATTCCAGTCTTGACTTAAACAATATCCAAAGATCCATCAGGGGTTTTTTTGCAAGAGGGGAGGGACTCTCGCTCTTCTCTTGGCTAATGTCTAGCCCATTCCACTATGCAAGATTCTGACTTGGCTGCTGCTCTCACAGCTCCAGAGGTGGCTGCTGTCCTGCGGTGAATCTGGTTTTCTGCATGTAGGTGGTTAAAACACTTTTTGGGATCCTTCACTGCTCTCTCTAATGGTGGGAAATTTTCCCCGCCAGAATAATGTTAGATGTGGCTACATGCAGGATCTGCAAACTGCCCTTTCAGTACTAACTGGATGGTAACAGGAGTGTGACAGTATTAATCTAACAGTCTTGTGTGTGTGCTGTTTAATGCTGTCGTTGCTGTGGCCTGATGGCTGTTAATCTGGACAGACTCGCTCACTGGGGAAGATTCTCTACTTGACTGCTCTCTGCTTTCTAACCCCGCTGCTGACCTCTTGGACGAGTTTGCTCCTATAGCTATTTCAGCTCAAGCTCACAAAGGTAACCTGCCACTGGGCGTTTTTGTCATACCTGTCGTACCTGATGTTGTAGGGTCAGATCCTCAGCAGGTGTAACTCAAAATCAGTGGAATTATGCTGATTTATACCAACTGATGATCTGACCCATATTCTTTACTGGGCCCTGTTGCCTTGTCCCCTGACTTGGTAACACTTGTAATGTACAGTGTAGCCTTTAATACTGGGGGCATCAAATTACCAACAGAAAATATGAAAACCGTTCAGCATGATTCTGCAAACAAATGCACTTAAGACTTACTTGCTGTATATTTTTTGCGTGTACATGTGTGTAATAGTATTTGCCTTAATGCTCCAGTATTCATAGGTTTGTTTATTTATTTATTTATTTAAGGCCAGCAGGGATTACTGCATTATAATCATCTTCTCTGACCACGTGTGCTTTTGAAACCCTGTGCTTCCCATCTCGAAGAGCCACTGTTTGATTTGTCTGTAGCATAAGTCCTCTGTGACTTAGTATTGCCAGATTTCAGGAACAGGTCCTCTTCCCTGAAGCGTTTAGCTAGAAAAAGCCCATGAACCAAGTCACACTAATTACAGAAGTGACTAGGCGTTCAAGTGTAATGTACAAACCGAAAAGTTTAGTGGGGTATACTTGTGGGAGGTGGGCTGGGGAACCTGAACTGCAGAGTAACAATGGGCTAACGTGTTGTGGCTATGAAGAATTGCAATTCTGGAGGTTGGCCTGAGCATTGTCTAGTGGCTAACGAACATGCCTTGGCGTAGGAGATCCGAGTTCTGTTTCCAGCTCTGCTCTTGTTGTGTTGTGCAAGACCTTGCATGTTTCATTTACCATCTGTGCTAGGATCTGAATATACTTGAGGCTTGTTCTCCCCCCCCCCCCGCAAAGTTGCTCACCATCCACCACTCCAGTGAAGTCAGTGGGGGTGAAAATTAGGTCCTCAGTGTATTTGGATCTGGAATGTTTCACCATCACTCATTAGTTCAGAGCTTCAAGCACAGGTTTTAAGATGTACTTTTCCTGCTGTGATCTTCCAGTTTCCTGCTCTGTGCTGAAGCGATCACCGTAACATCTCCAGCTATTAGAAAAATGCCAGGCAATGAGTAATATGCAAATAAAATGTGGAGTGTATCTTGGATGGTAAATACCTCTCTACAGGGGTTTTTCCTTCATTTAATGCATTGAAAAGACAGGCCCAAAGAGCGAAATACTAACCTGGATTTGACCTCTGGGTGTCTGTTCACACTGAGGTTTGTTTAGCTCAATTGATAAGCATCCCTATGGCAACAGAAAATGTTCAGTCCCTAGAGGAAGTGCAGTAGAAATAGTCTGTAATCAATTTTTACAGTCAATGGCATTTTAAAATGAGATTGCATTTTTCATAAAGCTTTTGGGTTTAAACAAGCAATTCTCCTAATTACTCATTGCAACAGTAAACTTCCCTGCCACTTTATTCTGAGTAAATGGCTTGAAATGTATGTTCACTGGCTATTATTCTGTGATGGAACTCAGCAAAATGGAAGCTCAAAATGTTGGACTTCAATAAGAAATGAGAGAATGAATTGAGACTTCTGCCTGATTTCCCACTATTTCTATTGCCTTGAGGGAAAACGTGGAAATCTCACTTTCCCTTTCAAGGTTATTGGACACATAAGGTTTATATCTTTTTCCAAAACTCTTGTCTGTGGCTTTTCTACAAAATCTTTATTATTATTATTATTTATTATAGCTCTGGATGATCTCCTTATCCATATAGCTGTCCGATCCTTTTTTTTTTAATCCTTTTTTTAATTCTTTGCTTCAGTGAATCCCGTGGCAATAAGTTGAACTGGCTAATTGTGCACTGTGTGCAAAAGAATAATCAGCCTGTGGAACTCAATGCCGCAAGATATTATTGATACTACAGACATGCCTTAATCACGTCAGCTATTGGCTCTTGGGAACTTTGATAAATGTAGAAAGATTTTAAAAAATGGGGTGGATGCTTATATCAATAACAATAATATCCAGAGATGAGTTGATGTTCTCTCCAAACCGCTGTATCTTATTCAGCAAGTTACACTAGAGAATTCAAATGTATTGCTAGGTTATATTGTGTTTCTTAGGCTGTAAATTAGAACCCCTCAAGACTTGGTTGTCATTACTTTGCATTTACTCAACAAAAAACTGAATCCCGGATGTGTGGGATGGGAAAGACTGTGACAGAATAGTGTGTGTTTATTACTATAAATAGCTGAAACAGTGAGCTGAAGAGAAAATGCATCTCTTAACGAAACCCATCCAAAAGTATATACTTGCTTGCATTTGTCTCATCTTGAGAAGATGCCTAAAATGAGTGCAAGTTTCAACAATCTTCCCTTAATGCCTACAGATGTAGATGGCTAAATGTATTACAAACTTCTGTTGTCTCAAAGCTATCAACAATTATGGATAGAGCAGAAAAGAACATTGGTTGGCTCAAAAAGGTGCTCAGCTATTTGTCTGATTGCTGAAGAACACTACTTCTAAGCCAAGCCATAAAGCCTACTTGCATGATCCTGGCTTGTCTGCATGTTCATTCTGTAGAAACATGTGGTTTTCCCCTTTATACTCCTAAGAGCCAGGTGTTTTCACAGGGTTTCCTTCACCTGCACGGCCAAAATCTAGTAGGATATCTATCAACTTCATCTAAAGGGATTTTTTTGTATGAGTGGGAGAATGCTTCTGGTCAACAGAACCTATTTACTCTTATTCCCTGAGCCATAGCGAGGGAATATGCTTCACATAGGGTCTGAGGACCAGATTTTCCAAGGTACTTAGTTACTTAAAGAAGCAGAGAGGCATTTAGTGGGATTTTCAAAAAATCCCTAAGAAGTTTAGGCACCTAATTCCCATTGATTTCAAGCCCCTATTTGCCTTCTTTCCCACGGGCAATAACTCATGTATTGGCTCATCTGATTAATCGGTCTTGGACCTTTTGTACACCTCCCTTGTGCCAGGCTGCCATCTTTCTCCTCAAAATCTCCCTTTATATATGTGGTCCCATGACCAAAGAGGTAGACTGTTTGCTGGAACTGTACTGGTGTTTGAGAATAAGAACATAAGATGCAAAAGAATATTTTCATTCCTCTTTCCTTTGCCCCCTGCCCCCCTATTCTTGCTGGCCATGCAGTGTGCCAGTGTAACCTCAAACCATGTTTTCTAGCATAGCTAGGAAAGGTACTAACTGCTAAAGCATTGGGTTGGCCAAATTTTATGTTGGTTCTCATTAATTGGTTCAGCTGAGTATGTGCGTGTATGTTTTGGGTTTGGTTTTTATTTTTTTGCTTTTGAGTTTGACTCTTCACCTATTATCTTCTTATAGACTTACCAACTTTATTTCAACTTTTTATTTAAACTCTTACTTTTTAACCACTTAAAAAAAACCAACCCTAACATTTTTGGCAATTCTAACATGCTTTTTTTGCTATCTTTGCTTCTTTACCTGCGTTTCTCCTTTACACTGCAGAAGATACTAATCTGATATCAGGCTTTGATGTTCCTGAGGGCTCTGAAAAGGTGGCAGAAGATGAGTTTGACCCTATCCCAGTGTTGATATCCAAAAATTCACAAGGTAAGCGAGGATTTTTAAAAAGAACACACATGATGGCAACCAGTTTATTGGGCAGTCATGCTAAGCCGTACACCTAAATTACACGGAAACCATATCTCCTTAGTTATCAGTGAGCCTAATTCTCCTCTGGCTTATGCCAGTTTGTCTTGCTCCATTCTTTCAGGTTACTCCTGATTTTCAAACATGGGGGGTGGAGGGAGAGGAGAATCGGGCCCAATGAGATAGGATAATACAATACTGAGAAGGATTCATTCACCACTTGGTCACAATGCCATTCACTCAAATTTGGCCTGGCTGCCCCACCGTCATGAATTAGAAGGCTTACTCTGCCCCATGAAGGCCTTATTGTGTGTAAATCTTGGCGGTGGCTGGTACCTTGTCTCCCTCACCAATAGAAGTCCGTCCATAAAAGATATATTGCCTGACCCACCTTGTCTCCTCTAATATCCTTGCCATTGACACGGCTATAACAACACTGCATACCATAGTACCCGTAACATAGAATAGCTTAGCTCAGCTTAAAGTTGCTTTCTCTGGTTGTTCTTTCTTTGCTTGTGCTTGAACATCTGAAACTAACCTGTGTGTGTCCTGTGCAATACTGAATTCCTATCTCTCACCCTTTCAGGTGGGCATTCTAGAAACAACAGTGGAAGCTCTGAATCCAGTCTTCCCAACCTAGCCAGGTCTTTACTGCTGGTGGATCAGCTCATAGACCTGTAGCAGTGACCCAGTAGCAGATGCAGTTTCTGTAACGTACCTTATCTACATTTTCATTTCCAGAGGAGTTAACCTTCACGTTTTTTTGGGTTTTAATTTAAAAAAAAAAAAAATACTGCAAACAGAAGGAGACAACCCCCTATGTTCCCATCTCCCGGCCCAGGAACGGATTCTATTTCTGTCCCACCTATTCCCATAGTCCGTCCTTCAGCTCATCCCTGGTACAATCTGCTATGGTTCCTTATGCACCTGTCTTGGCTAGCATATGTCTAAAGGAAGCACTACTCCTCATTATCCACTCTGCTGAGACTTACACATAGCTCCACTGAAAGCTTAACTGTAAATGAATTAGTTAATTGTAGTCTATGTATGATCCTTGCTAGAAATGGCATACAACGGATATTTCTTTTTCCTTAGGCTAGAGTGCTAACATATGTGTTTAACCTTAGAGGGGAGAAGGGAGGATTTCCGACAAATGGGCAAAAGGAAAGGACACATAAAATCACTAGCGCTATTCATCTCCTAGGTAGGAGACAAATTAGGAGAAGATGTTTTTAAATTGGCAATATATGCTTCAGAGGGGGAAAAAAATAAATTGGGTATTGCTGCAGTGGAGCTGCACGGTAAATATGGTGATCATGTAAATTGAGAGGGTTTTCCACACCCCCTCTAAAATGATCCTGCTCACGAACAGATTGTGCTTTCTCAAAAAAGAACCCCAAATGTTAATGATAGAAAAAGGACCCCAAGTGAAATATTTCAAAAATTGAGAACCAAATACATGCGAGTATGGCTGTAGTGTCTTTATACTGAATGAACTGTTAACCGAAAAGGGCAATGTGGCAGCAGCGGATGTATTTTCCTGTTATTTTTGTGTGCGTGCGTGTATGTATGTGTTTTTAGATTAAAAAAACAAGCTGTAAATTGTGTACAAACCAAATTGTCCAACAGTTGTTTTTTCTTAACCTGGGTTTTAGTCAAACGTCTCGTATCTGTTCTGGGTTTTTCTCTTTTCCCTTGTAACTACATATAGTGCAACATAGTTAAGTATGGAACCATTTTTCAGTAGACAAGTTACTGTAAACTTTATTCAGATCTTCAGTCTTTGTAGAACAAGCATGCACTCTCCTCAAACAGTTGGAAATGAGTGCTGACAAGCTAGATACAATTTGATGGCGTTTACCTTTTTCTTTTTACCTTGACATGCTTAGTTTGTCAACTAACTGGATACGCTAAACTTGTTTTCATTGGCTTATGATCTTAAAGTCCAGCATTCCTATCATATATTTGAAAATTCTTCCTGAATAAAAGGACTCTTCCTCTGTAGTGGAATAATTACTAGCTTACTGCTAACCTTGTGTATGTGTATGTAGCTGTATTAGTACAAGTGCAGACTCTCATGTGCGAAAGTATGAATGACTAAATTATAGATGTATTGACCTCTCCCTGAGAGGGAAAGACATTAAAGTCTGTGAGCATTTCTCTCCTATTTCCAGTTTCACCACTATTCCCCCACCACCACCACCAACATTTAGTTTAACAAATTCTGTAAATAGAACTAACCATCAATTGTCTGCTCTCCGTTAATCTTCTTTTAAAATCTACACTTCATAATAAAAGTATTGCTTAAATGTGTTGTATCATTACATGTGTAATACTGCACTTTCCAGAAGAAGCTTTACATGAGAGAGCTATGGAAATGATCTTAGTAAAATTGTCAATAGAATTTTATTTTTATTTTTTGTTTGTTTGTTTTTTATTCCTAAAGCAGGCAAATTGGACTGGAGAACATGAAAAAGCTTTAGATAGAAAGTTATTGTATAGCCAGATACTGAAAATACATGAAAAGAGAATGGATTTAAAAAAAAAGTAACCATCTACTGTATATTAGAAACCAAGAGATTTCTGTGAATTAAAGTACTTTTAAAGAATGTTTAAGATTTTAAATCTAATAGTTTGTTCAAGTGTTCTGGAATCAACATTATAAAAGCACTGGGTTGTTTTGGAATGATGCTATTAAATAAGCAGAGGTGTATGTTCTTTTTATTGTTTTTAAAATAGCTATTCATGGATCTGGGAGGGAAATGCAATACAATGGAAGCATAATCCTTTATAAAGGTGTATGATTTAGACCCAGCTCATAAGAAAAGACTTGACACTGATTGTTAAGGAAATGTTACAGAAGAGATGTGTGGAATGGAAAATGCAAGAGAAGTATGAAGACTTCAGTTTCTTTAAAGGAGATGGGGGATTAATTTTAAAAACTGCTAAAATGGGGGAGGGATAGCTCAATGGTTTGAGCATTGGTCTGCTAAACCCAGGGTTGTGAGTTCAATGCTTGAGGGGGCCATTTAGGGATCTGGGGCAAAAATCTGTCAGGGACGGTACTTGGTCCTGTTGTGAAGGCAGGGGACTGACCTCAATGACCTTTCAAGGTGCCTTCTAGTTCTGTGAGATAGGTATATCTCTATATTTAAAAAAAAATGGTTTTAGCCTGCAAACATTAGGTTCACGTGGTGTAAACTGCCCAATTGGGAAGAAGTTGTGTGAAAATTGCTAGCAAGAAGGAAAGGCACAGAGTGAATTGTCATTCAGTTTCTATGCCAAAGAATTTGGCATAAGAATACAAGTTTACTAACCACCATAAAGATGTTCTATTATAGTCATGAAAACAAGAAGGGGGACAAGTCAAATGCTTATCTATCTCCTCCAAGGTTTGTTCCTCCATCTGTTGTCCCCAAATGGGTAGAAATCTATGCTAAGTGAAGTGACACAAGATGATTCTCCTTTTTCTGCTAGTACATGTTGTTGATTCATATACCGATGAAGGAACCAATGTCCTTGGGTCACTAGTGCAGTTCTTGACATTAGTTTCCTTGGTACCTTAATGGATGCGCCTACAGGATTTTATACTTTCAAATGTAGCCACCATACAAAAGTCCGAGCAACTCCCCTTTCAAGGCAGAGATAGGACTTTGCAATCTTCGTTATTGCATCAGGAGCAGGATTTATTTGTGGACTTCCAAGTTACTGCACAAACTGGTGAACAGTTAAACTTTGAGCCCCACAAAACAATTGATCAAAATGGATGCGAGTGTCTTCAAGTGGCAAAGGTGACTGTGTCAGAGCTTCTGGGCTCTATTACGACACATTGCAAGGTGCATGTGATCGTTCCAGCAAATCCCAGCTATTGTGTGGAGGGGACTTCTACTGATGATCCTGCTACCGTTTAAAAAACGTATTTTAACCCCCCATCCCCCTTCTCCACAACCAGCCAGGAGCTAGCTCTGCCTAAAATGGTTTTTCCATAAAGCCATTTGAAAAGGCTGCATCGCTGGAATACAAGATCCGATGAGAACGGGGGGCCCAGGTGAGCTTAGAAAGTTGAGGGGTGCACTGGCAAACCCCAGATGTGGAGCCTGTAAGCCACAGACCTCAAAGAGGGACACAAACATGGGATAAAGCACAAACATTCATGACTTGGAATTAATTTTCTTCAGGGCATTTTCTGTTTAAAAACAAATTTCCTGGTTTTTGTTTGTTTGTTTTTAAATTGTGGAAGGAATTTATAAGAAATCAGCCTTGGGTGTGGCAAATCTGGGTGTAAAAGGAAGGGATGTTTTGAGAGATGTGGGATGGAAATAATCAATCCAAATTAATCATGTAGCAACTTTGCATCAAAGTGTGGGCACTGCATGCTACAACCACTTCATCCTAGCAGAAAACTGAGTTTTGGAATAATGAGGTTAGAAGTGTTCCTTATAGATGGAGGCCAGCTGTTTCACACACGGGATTAAATTCACTTGTGTGCCAAGGGCATGCACAAATCTTGTGCAGCACATAAGCCCTCTTTTATTTATTTATTTATTTATTTTTAAAAGGACTGGAGTGGTGCATAGGCCTTGTGCTAGTCTGCTCCACCAGAGTGAGATTTACCCATACTAAATCAGCCGGGTATTCCTCTGAAGCAATCACAAACCATTCTTTAAACCTGAAAGATGTGTATCTGAGGAGTCTAATTGTCTCAGCTTTATCTAAAAAGAAGTTTTATTCACAATCTGAGTAGGCTTTATTCAACACTACTAGGGTCACTTAAACATGTATGAAGTGGGAATAAAACTCTACCTAATCAGAATGTTTTATACCTGCTTTTACTCACTCTGCAGGGGAATAAATGGCTGCACAAGATGCCAAACAGAGGAGACACAAATCATCATTATCTTTGGGGTAGTGTGGCCTAGAGGATACAGCAATGGACTGGTCCTCAGAAGAGCTGGAGTCTA